CTCTCTCTCTCTCTCTCTCTCTCTCTCTCTCTCTCTCTCCCCCTGTCATATCAACCATCCCTCCCTTCCCCCCTTCTCCAGTCTCTTCTTTCTCCTCACACCACCTCCCCATCATTATACAGGGAAAGACGATAGAAACAAATCACTTCACCAGCTCAGGAAGCGATCAAACCTTTATAAAAGTCTATGGCTCCCAAATCAATAGGCGAATATTTGCTGGGAATTTGTTCCAGAGGAATAAATAAGGAGTGTGAGTGTATTAAATGGAAGGGAGGACCTAGTGGTGTTTTTCTTCATTGATTAATGACCTCTAAAATAAAACATGTGGGAAGAGGAGCCAGGATCGATAAATTAACTACCCAAATTCATCATTTTCCCAGGGAAAAAATTAAAATAATCCCCAGGAAGCCAATTCTCCTGTTGTCTGGGTGTTGTGGAAAAGAGCTGGGGTTGAAGAGGAGAGGGGCTTTCTGAGGCAGCTGAAAGGCGGTGGAGTGATTCTGTTGGGGAAAGCCTCTATCTGATTTCATTTGACACACAATTAAAAAGTTTGCCTTTCATATTAATTAATTTCTCCTGATGAGGAGAGACAAATGGTCGGTTTCCCTTGACAGGAGTCCGATAAAGAATTCAGCAGCTTTTCTCCCTGCCCTAGGCCTCTCTTGGTTCTAGTTTTAAGGTCATGGGTGGCTGAGTTAATAATTCATTAATATAGACATTCTGAAAGGATTTGTAGATTCCTCCTGCAAATTCTTTTTTCAGGGAAGAGGAGAAGGAGAGGAAGATAGAATGTAGAAATGAAGAAGGAAAGGAGAGAAGTGAAAGGGGAGGGAGGAAGGAAGGAGAGAGAAAAGGAGGGAGCATCCTTCTCCCCATCCATATCAAAAACTTGGTTGAAGATAGGGTATCCAAACTGGACAAGGGAATTCTCCCTCAAATATCCTCTCCCTCTTTTCCATTCTTCTAGAAAGTCCCTTGAAGAGCAAAGATATCCAATTTTATAGCTCTGCAATGAGTAAGCAAAAGATGACCTGGGTTCAGTGGGATCCCCTTCATCTGGTTCCCCAAAGAATATTATTCATAACTTTTAGGGGACTCTGAAATCTAGAATCAGAAAGAAATTTCTCTTCCTCACTGAGAAACTAGTATTAGCCAAGGTAACCTCACGTTCCCCTAAGAGTTGCCTTAGAAACCAAACACAAGCAGTCCAGAGTATACTATTTTCTTTGCAAGAATAATGGTGTCTTAGGCTGTTGGACTGTTGACCATTTGAAGAGACATTTGCAGAAATGTCAAGAACTATAGTTTGGTGGATTTACAGATATTCTTATATTATTCTTACTCTTCTGCCCCCTCCCTTTTTTTTTTTACTACACTTGGCTCAGGG